AAGAAATGACAGACTAAAAAACAAAACAAAACAAAAAAAACCTACAAAAGATCAACAAAACAAAGTGCTGGTTCTTTGAAAAGATAAATAAAACTGATGAACCTTTAGCCAGATTCATTAAGAAACAAAGAGAGAACACCCAAATAAAATCAGAAATGAAAGAAGCAAAGTAACAACTGATCCCAAAGAAATACAAAGGTTTGTAAAAAAAAAAAAAAAAAAAAAAATACTACGAATAACTATATTCCAACTAGCTGGACAACATGGACAAAATGGACTTAACACCAAGAAAAATACAGTCTTCCAAAACTTAATCAGGAAGGATCAGAAAACCTGAATAGGCCCATAACTACTGATGAATTTAAAGCAGTAATAAATAAATAAACTCCAGCAAACAAAAGCCCGGTATGAATGGTCTCACAAGGGAGTTTTCCAAACATTAAAAGAACTAACATATATTCTCCTCAAACTACGTCAAAATATCCAAGAGTAAGAAACACTTCAAATTCTTTTTACCAGGCTACCATTAGCCTAAACCAGATAAAGATACCACAGAGAAAAAGAATTAGAAGCCAATATTCCAGATGAACATAGATGCTAAAATCCTCAACAAAATATTAGCAAATCAGATCTAGCAATACATTAAAAAAGACAATATGCCATGACTAAGTGGGATTTATTCTGGGAATGCAGGGCTGGCCCATTCTTCCAAAATCAATAAATATGATAAACACATAAACAAATTGGAAAATAAAAATCACTTGATCATATTAATTGATATCAGAAAAAGCATTTGATAAATTCCAACACCACTTTTTTATAAAAACTCTCAGTAAAGTGGAAATAGAGGGATCATTCCTCAACATAATAAAGACCATATCTGACAAACCTAAGCCAACATCACAATCAACAGGCATAAACTAAAACTATTTCCTCTAAGAACTGGAACAAGACAGGGATGTTCGCTTTCACCACTATTATTCAATATAGTACAGGAAGTACTAGCCATAGCAATCAGACTAGAAGAAAAAACAAAAGGCATTCAGATTTGAAAGGAGGAAGTAAAACTGTCATTATTCGCAGATGATATAATAGTGTACACAGAAAATCCTTTAAGACTCCACCAAAAAACTATTAGATTTAATAAATGAATTTGGCAATGTAGGATACAAAATAATACCCAGAAATTGATGCCATTTTTAAACAGCAATAATGAGTTATCAGAAAGAGGAATTAAAAAAACAATTCCATTTTCCACCGCAACAACAAAATAATATTAAGATATTTAGGAATAAACTTAACAAAGGAGGGAAATGACCCGTACTTGTAAACCTACATAACAGTGAAAAAAGAGAGTAAGATATAAACCAGTGGAAGAATATACTGTGTTCATGGGTTGGTAGAGTCAACATCATTAAAATGGTCATACTACCCAAAAAAATCTATATATTCAATGCAAACCCTATTAAAATATCAATGGCATACTTCAAAGATCTAGAACAATAATATGGAACCAAAAGAGACTCCCAAATAGCCAGTGTAATCTTGAGAAAGAAGAAAAAGGTGGAGAGATCACAAGACCAGATCTTTTCATACTACAAAGCCACTGTACTCAAAATAGCCTGGTAATGTTATAAGAACAGGTATATAGATCAATAGAACCAAACAGAAATCTCAGAAATTGACCTAAGCCATTATGCTCAATTAATATTTGACAAAGGAGGCAAGAGAATACAATGGAGTAAAGACAGTCTCTTCTATAAATGGTGGTGGGACAACTGGACAAATACATACAAAAGAAATGAAATTTGACCATGAACTTAAACCATAAATAAGAATAAACTCAAAATGAAAGATCCAAGATGGCTGCCAATAGGACGGCAGGCTGCAAGATGGTGTGTGAGAGAACAAGAGGAGAGTGCGTGGACGTGCAGGGAGCATCTGTATTTGTGACAGAGGAAAAGCTATATTCACAGGACTGCTGGGGACTGGTGGACCGCGCTCCCCTGGCTGAGCAGCCTCTACTGCTGCTGAAATCTCTCCTGGAGCGGGTGGCTCTGCAGCAGAGACCATGCCACCTTGAAGGGGAGACCAGCTGTGATTGGAAGCCTAGCCTTACTGTTAGAGTGGGAATTTTTGAGCATTCCGGAGAGGCTGTGGACTATGCCCCAGACAAGAGTTGTCAGTGCTGACACCAGGCCAGGCCTGGAAATATAGTTTCATGACCCTTCCCCTTGCACCTCACAAAATAGCCTTGCAAGATAGAACACTGTCAGCTTTCTGAAGAACAGGATGACCCATGTGAATAACATGGTCATTGGCATGATTTTGATGTTACTTGGGAAAAACTGGTTTGTCTTAGGTTACTCGTTCTGCAAAAACAGGATGTGGTTAATGTGCTTAAAAGTGGTCCTACACCAAGGATCACTGCTGCTCTCTGACCTCTCTGTCTGGAAGGCAGAACAGCCGCTGGCAGGCAAGAAAGGCTCCCTAAATTTTAATTTGGTTTGGACTACAGTGGTCTTTATTTGCGTTCACTCCACAATGTCACCTTCAAGGACCTTACAGATACCTCCCAGAACCTTACAGCCACAATGCCTAGGGACCAGCTGCCTCAGCTGTGAACCCATGAATACCAGGGCTCCCTGACCATGGGCACCTCAAAAACCTGTCCACAGGAGACAAAGCGGTGCTAAACATGCTGATGGGCCCTGTGCCTTCTCACAGAGCAGATAGAAGGAAGAACTGAATCAAACACCACCACTTGGAACTGGCGAATTAAACACAGTTGGTAAGCCAATCCGTGGACAGAAAGGTCATATATCACCTAGAGAAAGCTCTAAACTCCTCAAATTCACCTGGGTGTTAGTTGTTTGCATTTTTTGGATTAGTTGTTGTTTTGTTGGACTTTTCTCCCCATATACATATATATTTATTTCCCCCCTTCTTTTTTCTTCACTTTTTTCTCTTCCCTTTTCTCAATATCATTTTGTTTGCTTTTCTATCCTGTAGTTCTCTTTTCTCTGTGGTCATCTTTATTTGGAGTTATTAGCATCGTGAATACATTTGTGTTTGGTGCCCTGTGCGTTGTATCCTGTTGTTTTGTATTTTCTGCCTTTAAGTCAATGCAGTATAGAGAGAGCTACATAACCGACACCCTGAGAGAAAAGATCATGGGAGACAAAGAAACAACCTGCATACAAAAGAAGAGTAATCACCAAGAAAGGAAGTAAATGAAATGGAAACAAGCAATATGTTAGAGAAAGAATTCAGAGAAATGGTCATAAAGAAGCTGAAAAGACTAGAAGACAAATTCAACAATATATGTAAGAACCAAGAGGAAATGAAGAAGAACCAAGAAGAAATGACAAATAATATTGCTACAATAAAGAACTCATTAGCCGAAACCGGTTTGGCTCAGTGGTAGAGCATCGGCCTGCGGACTGAGGGGTCCCGGGTTCGATTCCGGTCAGGGGCATGTTCATTGGTTGTGGGCACATCCCCAGTAGGGGGTGTGCAAAGGGCAGCTGGTCGATGTTTCTCTCTCATCGACGTTTCTAGCTCTCTATCCCTCTCCCTTCCTCTCTGTAAAAAATCAATAAAAATATTTAAAAAAAAGAAAGAAAAAAAAAAGAACTCATTAGATGCCAAAACCGGTTTGGCTCAGTGGATAGAGCGTCAGCTTGTGGACTGAAAGGTCCCAGGTTCGATTCCGGTCAAGGGCATGTACCTTGGTTGTAGGCACATCCCCAGTAGTGGGTGTGCAAGAGGCAGTTGGTCGATATTTCTCTCTCATTGATGTTTCTGGCTATCTTTCTCCCTTCCTCTCTGAGCACTGATGAATGGACCAGGAGGTCACTTTTTGATTGCAGGTCAGGGCACAAGCCCAGGGTTGCAGGCTTGATCCCCAGTGTAGGGTGTGCAGGAGGCAGCTGATCGATGATTCTTATCACTGATGTTTCTCTCTCTCTCTCACGCTCTCCGTTCCTCTCTGAAATCAATAAAAATATATGGAAAATAAAGAAAAGCTGTGGTATATATATATATATTATATATATATATTAATGAAATATTACCAGGCCTTAAACAAAGAATGAAATCCTACCATTTGCAACAGCATGAATGGATATAGAGGGTATTATGCACAGTGAAATAAGTCAATGAGAGAAGACAGATACCATATGATTTCTCTTTAAGTGGAATCTAAAGAACAAAATAAAGGATAGACACAGAGACTGAACTGGTGTTTTCTAGAAAGGACAGGGGTTGGAGGACTGGGTTAAAGAAGTGAAGGAATTAAGAAATACAAATTGGTAGTTACAGAATAGTCATGGGGATGTAAAGTACAGCATAGGGAATATAGACAATAATATTGCGATGACTATGTATAGTGCCAGGTGGGTATTGGAAATATCAGGATGAACAATTTTTAACATATATGATTGTCCAATCACTATGCTGTACAGCTGATATCAATACAAAACAATACTAAAAATAAACTTTAATTGAAAAAATAAAATATACATTTTAAAAAGGCTCCTATAAAGTTAAAGGAAAGATCATAAGAACGATAGCCTCTTTGTTAAATGTCTTAATTCTACTGAAGTACAATATATTTTTATAATACATGATTTCATGATTAGATTGGGCAACTCTGATTTTAAAACATGCAAACAAGAACATGGGCAAAGTGCCCTAGCCAGTTTGGCTCAGTGCATAGAGCAATGGCCTGCATATCGAAGAGTCCTGGGTTCCATCCCAGTCAAGGGCTCCTCTCTGACCTGGGCCCTGGTCGGCTCATGCAGGAGGCAACCAATGAATGTGTTTCTCTCACAACAATATTTCTCTGTCTTTCCCTCTCTTTTCTACTCTCTCTCTTAAAAAAAAAAAAAAAAAAAATCAATGAAAAATATCCTCCAGTGGGGATTAAAAAGAAAAAAAGAACATGGGCAAAGATATGATTTTTAACAAGCTAATTTAACAGATGCTAGTACACATACCGTTTCCTACATCCGTGATCCAAATGGATTGTTCATACAGTGTACTGGCTGCAAACATACCATGAGGTGTGTCAACTGTGTAATTCCAAGCTCGTAGGAAATATCCATCCTCTGTGAATACTAGTACTTTTTGGATGTTATCCCCTCTCTGAAGGCATACAAAAATAATTGCTTAGATAAAGTCAGTTTTAAGGAAGTAATGTTTATTTTGGCAAAGAGAAACAAAAAGGTTAATCAAATAATATTAACATTTATAAATATAAATGACAGTACAGTAAAACAGGCTGTTGCTCCCTTTGTATTCATGTATTTTGCTTTCTAAATCCCAATTTTACTTACTTGGGCTATGTAAAGTAGTCCATTCAGGGAGTCAACTGCAACACAAAATGTTGCTCCAGTAAAGTACTCTGAATGTTTAGGCCATCCCACATCCAGTCTGTAAAGAATTTTCTCAGTTCTCCATGAAATGTGAAAAATAAACTCTCTTAAAACCTTAAATAAAATCAGAAGACGAAGATTCAATTTACAGTCTAGGTTGGCAAAAAAAAAGAAAAGAAAAAAAAAGCTTACTTTCTAAGTGTACCTTGATACCTCTATCCACAGAAGTCTTAAATGTGTGGGAAGGAATGGTCTTATACATTTAAAGACCAAGTCGACCAAAATACAAATCTGTAAAGTCTTTGAGGCTGTAGTGGTAGGTGGGAAAGAAGAGAATGCATCATATATAGATGCTCCTCGATTTACATCCCGGTAAGTCCATCATAATTTTAAAAAGCATTACTACAAGTAACCTATCGCTCATAACCTAGCCTACTTTAAATGTGCTCAGAACACACATTATCCTATAGTTGGGCAATTCTCTTTTGAGTTTCATCTCACGAAGCCTTTCACTTCTCTCCAGAAGACACAGATGTATTTATAAACATGATGGGATTCGAAAATACAATCCCCTCCAAAAAACAAACAAACAAAAAACAACAACAAACCCTGACAACAGTTTTATAGCATCCACTGTTTATCTTCCTGATCGTGTGGCTGAGAACTGTTTAGCATCAGGAGAGAGTAGCAGGCTTGCAAAGTGCTAGCCCGTAGAAGTAGTGTCTACTGAATGGTATCGCCTTTGCACTATCCCACAGTAGAAAAATTATGACAGGAACCCTCTGTCCAAACATTTTGAAACTAAGAGACAAGACAAGACCAAGGGGTTCCAATCAACCACTCTCATCCACACCGTTTGAGACAAGCTAGTGCATCACCTCCATTGGAGAGGGTAGCATCGCCTCCCCAAAGTGCTATCCAAACCACAAGCATCAACTTCTTCGCTATTCAACTCACCAAAGAGCCAGAAAAGCGCGAATATAAAATCGCAAACGCAAGGAAAAAGACAGTGGCGGCCGCGCACAGCCAGAATCTCGCCATGACGAAACAGGAAGCGCGACAAGATTCAGCTTCTGCGGGCGTCAGAGGCTGAGAAGCCCAGGTCCACTTGGTTCTCTGCAGCCACAGAGGCCCCTGTCTCCGTCTCCCTTCCTCGATGCTTGGGGTTCGAGAACCGGAAAGGAGCACAGAGCCGGCACCCATCTGGGATTCCGGGAGCTCCCTGCGTCCCCGCCCCCATGTCACGTGCCCTGGGGCTGACCCAGTGACCAGCCCACCCCTCCCCGCCGGGAAAGCGGTCCTGCGTCGAAGGCACTTCGGGCGCCCGTATCTCTGCCCTGACGACTAGGGGATCACAGTTTTGAAATTAAGATAGACCAATCAGAAGCTAGCACACACAAACCCAAGCTATAGGGTGTGGCCCTCAAAAAATGGCTTCCAGGTTGTGCGAAGGGTGTCATGTGCTTCTGATTCTGAGGAATTCAGGCATACGTTGTGGATACCTATGTTCCCACACAAGGACCCCTCCCTCGGCTTTCGGCAAAGAATGGCCTAAACTAGCGTCCCGGCGTTGAGTTTGCTCGCGCGACGGTTCCATTGAAGGCCCACCAGAGCCGGTGGGCGCTGTGAGGGGGGCCGGGAAGGGCGCCTCGCCGCGCTGTGCCTGCGGGGCCCCGAAGTCCCCCTGCCCGCAACCGGGCCCGCTTCGCTCGGCTCCCGGCGCTCTGCGGCGCCGGCCCGCGCCAGAAGCCGAGGCAGCTGGTAACAAAGAGCCCGCCAGCCGCCGGCTCCCGGGTCGCGCGAACCCAGGTGTCCTGCGGCGCCGCCGGGATGAGCGCCAGCTGGGCCACGAGCCCCGGTGCGCGGTGCTGAGGGCCGCGCTTAAGTGCCGGCGCGGGCGGGGGGGCGGCACCTCCTGCCCGCGGCCTCGCTCGGGCCGCCCGCCTGCGGCTGCGCCGGAAGCGCTCGGGCCTCCCCCTGCGGCTCGGCCTGCGCCGCCCGGACCACGCGCGGCTCTGGCTGCCGAAGCCCGGGCTTCTCAGCGGGACTCAGCAAGGACCCGGGTCTTCTCCCAAGTGTCCTGAAGCTTCGTGTCAAAAGCCGGGGAAGCCTGATGCTTTTTTTTTTTTTTTTTTTTTTTAATAAAAAGTCTTTGTAGTCTTCATTTTTAGAATTGCTTCCAGAGTTTTAAGTAGTCTACCTCTTATCCTTTCTCCTGCTCCTGACGTCTTTTTCCTCCTCAACTATAAACATTTTTTACCTCAGAGCTGACGAGCGTTTTGTAATTGAAAGTATAACTTAAAACCACGTCGAGAGAGTAGTCAAGATGGACAAAAAGTCCTTTGAAATGGTGCTGGATGAAATTAGAAAGGTAATTACATTTTATTCTTTAATTTTATAAGCCGCGAATTCTCATGATTTATTCTGGTTGAGCTACTGTGCAGATTGTGCAAAATACGGGTTTTAGGATTGCAAAATTGGTTGGAATTTTAATATATAGTGTAGGACCTTATGTCTTGATACATTTCACGATACAAACAGAAATTAATAGCTCTGTACTTTTGGATTTACTGTGACTTAACTATTTCTGAACCGTTTTCCTCATCTTTCAGTAACATAAGACATTGAAAGCCAGAGCAAATATGTAGAACATTCCTTTAATGTTTTTTATTACCATGATTGATTTTTAAAATCTGAGAATTGGCACACTATATTGCTTGGGCTGGACAAAATTTGTGCCTTAATGAAAAGTGTGTTATTAGGTTTAAAGTCATACCCTTAGGAATGGGCTTCAATGACTTGAATTCCAAAACTTTTTTCTCTTGCTTTCCAAGTTTTTGCTCCTTTTTGAGACCATTGTAAATAGCCTACCTCTCAGAATGAGTCGGACAGAAAAAAAAAAAAATTGAAATTTAGCCTTAAGCATAACTACTTCAAACCCAGAAATAAGAGTTTGCATAAGTAGAATTCGAGGCACTTCCTGTAACATTCTCATTAGAACTCCCAGGCAGTTATCGCCATATTTCCATACTTTTAAGACCCTTGATTGACTTGGAAAGATTTGTCACTGTGTGCTCTGGTGCTTATTATTTGTTTCAGCTTATGAAATTATTAATTAAATTGCCTGTGGATATGCTGTTTTTCTTTATTACCTATAAAGCAAATGTTGTTTTTCGTCATTCTTTATAATGCATTTTTATTTCTCCAATTTGCATGTGAGGTGAAATTTACATATTCGGCAATATTGAATCTTCTTTTTTGAATGAAATTTCTGATTTTACAAACCCAGTTTGTCCAAAAAAGATTTTTTTTAAGTGTTAGCTTGTTAATTCTATATTTAGAATTTACCACAATTTATTCATGAACTGGTATTTAACTACTGTTTGTTAGAAAATAATTGATGCATTGAGGTAGACCAGTAGATTTCTACTGTTGGAAACTATAGGGTGTTACTTTGCATATTCTCTCCCTCCTAAAGATCACACAGGAAATACTAATGAGGGAATAACAGGTTTTTCAAAGATGAAAATCTTGTTCACACAAGATAGCAACTTAAGTCATTATTTCTGTTTTGCAATCAAAATGTTTTTTGCTGTCTATGCCAAATAATTAGATGAAACAATATTGTCTTAGTCTATTAAAATGGGATAAAAATATAGGCATATCTAAATATGAGAATTACTATAGGTTTTTTTCAAGGTACTCTCAGACTTTGTAAATGTAAGTCAATTTAAACCAGGTAATCTCTGCCTGAGTGTCACCTGAGGTTTATAGGTAATAATGACTGTGACTACTGTTAGTAAGAGAGAAAGGCATGCACAAAGACATTAGGAAAGAGAAAGAAAGTAAGGGGAAAGGCAATGTTGAATTTGCTCTTCAAAAAGAAAGTAAGAATAATACTGTGAGTACTTACTATGTAAGCCTGTTTAAATCACTTTCTTCATGTGCTGTATGCACTATTTGACTTGAACCTGCTAACAATCAATGGGATATAGGTACTATACTCTTCATTTTACAGATGGCAAACGTAGTCTTTGTGAGGTTAACTAGGTAGCACAGTTATCCAGATGGGAAGGGGGAAGGATGGAAGGGTGTTGTGGTCCAGCATTCAAACCAAGGCACTCTGACTCCGGAGTGCTATGCTGTTGTGCCTGGGGATGCAGCCATGCCTCTCCGGTACTGATGAAAGAACTGAGACATGTCTTGGCATCAGTGCAAACTATGATTTCGTCCAGAAACTTGCTTTTTACTGTGTTCAGTAATGATAATGATAATCAAATGCCTAAGAGTACATTATCCAGAATGCCATTTCTATCCCTCCCCATTTCAATAAAAATTAGACCCTGGATATTTTTCTTACTTGATTGGCCATAGTATTTTCTACTAGCAAAAAGATAATGTGGAAAGTACAAATACCATTGTTTTATAGTGAAAGCAAAGAGATTAGTTTATTTTTAATGACCAATAGTTACCAAATTATGGTAATCTAGTGTTTTAATCTATAAACTGAAAATACTCGCAAAGAGAGCACACCTGATTTTAATCAGCTGTAGATAATGCTGGTTAAGGCCACCAGACTTCCCTCTGAATTTCCCGTTGCTAGATGCCACGTGAGGATAGGAACCATCACTTACTGAATACCTATTATATGTCAGGTCTATTATTGACTATTTTAATCATAACTCTGAAGTGGGTAGTGAATGCTATTCCATTTTATGGGTAAGGAGGTGCTCTGGATAATTAAAATTCCTCTCAAAGGCCACAATGCCAGTTTTTGGCAGGTGCATAGATTGAATTCAGAACCTTCTAGCTCATTGGGTTCTCATATCCCCATAGAAAGATTGAGAGCCTTGACATAATAGGTACTGAATAAATAATTAACAGCTGGGTAATATCTGATACATTTAATTTTCTTAAAAATGACAACTTAGTTGAATTTGGGATGTTTAGAAAATTTAATTACATTTACTAGTACATAAATTATATGTATAATTTCTATTAATGTCAAATCCTATCTGTTTATAATTCCTTTTTTTGTACGAGTAAGTAGGGAGGCCCAGAAAGTTTTCCTATTATTTCAGTATATCCCTTGAAGTATGGAACCTGCAAAGATAGATTGTCATGTCACCACAGTGATTTTAGCTGACTCTGCATGCTGGGCTGAAGATTTCCAGTTTGAGTAGCTTAGATATTTTTGCTGTATACATATTATTATTCTGTTTGCATATAATAATGCTGTTTTTCTTTTTCTTAGGCTGTTTTGACAGAATACAAATTAAAAGCAATTGAATATGTTCATGGATATTTCTCTAGTGAACAGGTATTCCTCTATTTGTTTAATCAAATGTGTCTCTCTCTCTCTTTTTTTTTTTTTATCTGATGTCTGGTAAATGTCTATTTACCTGCTGGTTAAGTCAGAATTGCTTTTATGTTGTTACTATATTTATTTAGGAACTTCAGAAGCTTTCACTTTTAGTGGCAAACTTTACAGAATTTATAGCTTGGTTATTTTATAAACATATCCTCTTTCACCACAATACGCTAACATGATTTTAAAATGCAGTGTTTAAAAAAATGAGTTCAAAGTATTTGTCATTCTGGACACAGTATCATACATCTTACCTAATAGTAGACAAACATGTAAATTGACCGTACTTCCACTAGGCCCACAACCCATCAGAGTGAGTATGTTAATTAGAAGGCCAAAGATGGCAGTGCCCAGCTGCTCCAGGCACAGAGTGGCCATGCGGGACAGGACTCCTGCTATGAAAGGGAGTTGGGGGGCGCGTGAGGAAAGGGGTGGCGAAGGGATTTACAGGAGCAGAGTGCTGCAGCAAAGATAAGACTGCAAAATCCGGAGTCTGCAGCAAAGACTAAGATGGCAGACTCCAGGCTGAGTCTGCAGCAAAGAGGACAGCAGACTCTGGCTGGAATGAAGGCCCGGTCCTGGGTGCCAGAGGAAACCCGGTGCTGGAAGCCAACGGAAGGAAGGCCTATTGCATGAATCTCTTCATGCAATGGGCCTCTAGTAAATTCATAAACTTCTAGTCATAAATATACTCAAGTTTGAGTAGTACTTTTAAGTTAATTGCAAAATTTACTGCATATTATAAAAGAAAACTTGAATAAGTGGTGAAATATAAGTAATTTCTATAACTGACAAAAGACCAGTGATAGTTTAGTAAATATCTTTTACCTAACTTTAGGGAGAGTTTGCTAATTTTAAAAAATATGTGTGTATATACATACATGTACATTGAAAGGCCAGATTCCTGAGGAACATTTAGAAAATACTTGATAGAAAACTAGGGCAAAAATATAAATGTACTTCTGGAGAACGGTTGTGGAAAAGGATAAGAACATAAATAAGATAGACAATGTATGTAGTATCTAGATTGAGTTAGTAAATGTCCCAACTTTTCAACTGTTTCTCAAGATGTTCAAAGCGTGAAGCTTGAAGCTTAAGCCTATAGAAGTTTTGCCTCCTAAATTCTAAAAAGCTACTTTATGACTTGCATATGTTGCTGCCTATTTAATGAGTGTTTGTAGAAAACTTCTCTTAGTTATTCTAGTTTGTTAAAGTTATTGAAAAAAATTTTAAGCCACTTTCTAAGGCTACTAAGATTTTTCTTCCTATATCAGACATGATATGTATAGTTTTATGACTGGTAAAGTGCCAGGTAGTACTTACTATATAGTAAAAACATTCCTATAAAGTAAAGACATATAATACACTCTTAACAAATTATTTTCTATTTTTTTTTATTTAAAAATTATTATATATTTATTAAAACCTATATGAAGCTTTTATTGTATTTAAAAGGACATTGTACATAAACATAATAGGCACCTTTCAAGTCAAGTTTTTACTTTATACTGATTCTGAATTGCATCTCTACAAATCTTCACAACATGTTAATATTAAAATGTGACGGATTCTAGGTCATTGATAGATATGCTTAATGTAGAGTGATGCTGACTGCTTTTCCTTTATCTATTTTTGTATCTCTTTAAAGGGGAAAAATATTTTTATTCTTCTACTCATTCCACATTGAGACCATATTATATTTTCAGGAACTCATAATAATATAATTCATTAATCCAGATTTTATTACTCTCTCTTTCTGAGTTCTCCTCGCCTTCCCCCCACAGCAGAGTGTCTTGGGGCATTTAACCAGGGTTGTGGTGACCATATAGAGACTGTAATATTCTGAACTTGATGCCTTGCTCACTTCTTACTAGCTATCTTACAATATCACCCTCATTTGTTTGAAATTCACTAGTGATGATGGGTGAGAGAGCCTCCCTCAAAATGATCTCCCATTTAGAAGCTGCTGGAGTATTCCTGGTGATTCTTACATTTTTTTTAGGGAATAGATCTGTGATATAAATATGAATATTATGCCTTCCAGATTCAAGTAAAAGAGTAGAAGATAGTGGACCTACACTAAACCACACCATTGAATACCCTTTTGTGATTGACTAAGTCTGGTCTCCATTAAATTTTTAAATATTTCCACTCATATTTACTAGTATCCCAGTGCACAAATTCTTGCACATTGAAAGGAAATTAATTAGAAAAAGTATTTTAATATTGCTATTTGTGTCTTGCTGATGAGAAGGAAATAGGATTCTACCAAGTCTCCTACCTACCTACTCCAGGACTTCTGTGAGGATCAAATGAGATGAGGCACAGGAAAATGCTTCACAAACATTTGGTTAAACTCTAAAATGTTTGCACCTGGTTATAAAGCTAGTCAGGTTTCTGGGCTAAAAATACTCCAAGGATGCTAGTCCCTAGGAAGAGGAAGCTGGCGTTATTCATGACATCATTACCCAGCGCCCACAGCCATCGTTGCTGGACTGGGCTGTGGGCCCATTTTGTGCCATGGGGTCTTGGCAGCGTTGGCTGTGATTTGGTGGGTGTCGCTTTGGGGTGGTGTCAGGCTTGTGTTCCACTTGGGGGAAGCCGAGTGTTAGTCAGCGCCAGATCTGGGGTGCCGTTTATTTTTTAAATGGGCAGTGGATGTCATGGCAGTTCCTGCATTGAGCATCTGCCCCCGGTGGTCAGTGCATATCATAGCTACTGGTTGGATGGACAGACACTTAGCCTTTTACATATATAAATATGCATAAGTTGACTTTTTTAAAAAAATTTGATTTTTTACAGAGAGGAAAGGAGAGGGAGAGTTAGAAACATTGATGAGAGAGAAACATCAATCAGCTGCCTCCTGCACACCCCCTACTGGGGATGTACCTGCAACCAAGGTACATGCCCTTGACCGGAATCAAACCGGTTAGGGCCATAAGTTGACCTTTTGTCTCCATCTAGTACTTTTCCAACCTTCCTTTGATTTATATGTATTTTAGTTTTCCTATCTATAATAATAAAATTGTAATGTGCTAATTAGACAAGATGTCCTTCAGGATTAAGCTGCTATGGGCTGTGGCTGAGGCAGAGCCCTAGGCCCCCAGCTGCCACAGCCTAGACAGAGGCCCTCAGCCCCTGAGGCAGAGGCACAGGAGGGTGGAGGCAGGCAGGCGGGGGCCAAGGCATAGGCAGATGCCCCCTGCTGCCTTGGCAGCCGGGGGCTGAGCCCCTTGCACAAATTTTGTGCATTGGGCCTCTAGTATCTTATGATGTTCTTTATTTCTAAACCAGTGCTGTATAAGACTTTCTGCAATGATGGGAAAGTTCTGTCTTTACTATCCATTATGGTAGCTACCAGCTTCATATGATTATTGAGCACTTTAAAATAGGTATGTCTTGTACTAGTAAAGAACTTAATTTTTTTTAATATGTTTTATTGATTTTGTACAGAGAGGAAGGGAGAGAGATAGTTAGAAACATCGATGAGAGAGAGAGTCATCGATCAGCTGCCTCTTGCACACCCCCTACTGGGGACATGCCCGCAACCAAGGTACATGCCCTTGACCAGAATCAAACCTGGGTTCCTTCAGTCCCCAAGCCGACGCTCTATCCATTGAGCCAAACCAGTTTCAGCAGAACTTAATTTTTTATTTGATTTTATTTCAGTTTTTTTGAATTCAAGTAGCTGCATGTGGTTACTCTATTAACACAGTTTAAACTCTGGTGCCATGTTTACCCCTCATCACCTGGGCCCAGCAGAACATTTTGTATAGTAATTCAAAATACTGAAATAAACCTTGCAGAAATTTTTGCAAACACATTTTCATTAGAGCTAAATTATTTACTTTCAGGTGGTTGAATTACTGAGATACTTCTCCTGGGCAGAACCTCAGTTGAAAGCAATGAAAGCATTACAACATGTAAGTAACTTATTTTTCCTTAGAATATAGAATTTAAGTATTTTGGATTCTCCCCTAATTTTCTATAATTCATCTTAAGTTGTAATTTGTATTTTTAAAAACCAATCCTAAATTGTAGTTTACTTTTATTATTCAAAATAACTTAAAAATTAAATTTATAAATTTATGTATAAAATTTAAAATTCAGTATAAATTTAAATTTATGTATACTGTATTATTAAATTATACACCATTATTCTAAGATTAAATACCATAGAGTCTTAATTGGTGGATTGGAGGAGAAAATGTTTATAGGTAAGCAAAAGATAAGATTTGAATTTCTAAGTATTTTATGCACTTTCTTCTACTTTTGGATATCTTCACCCTTTTGTATTCAAATGGTTTTAAACTTACATTCTTTGGACCAACACTGTCCAAATGAACTTTGAACCATAATAGAAGTGTTTTATAAACAGCACTATCCTAATATATAAAAACCCTGGGTCCGTCACATCCACAATGACCAGAGGCTTGACCTCATGCCCAGGCTGCATGTGCAGCAGGCTCTGATGGGTGGGGACTTGTGGCAGCAGAGACTGGGACAGGGGACACGGGGCTGGCACTCATACTCATTCACAACCACACACATGCACAGACACACACAGCGCCCACCAGCTTACAGCCTTTTCTCCCTTTATTTCCCTCCCTTCCAGCTTGCTCAGAATGAGGAAACAAGACAGACTGGGCTTGAGGAGGCCTGGATGGAAGGGAGGGTCGGCAGAGGGTGGAGCAGTTCCCACTGGCCCCACCCCTTCCCAGCCAGGAAAGAGGAAGATGGAGACATGGAAGCAGGGAGGCCTGAAGGACTGCTGAAAAAAACAAAGACAGATACTGGGCTAGATCAGACCAGCATGGGAGGGCAGTTGAGGGCAGCCAGGCTGGCAGGGGAGGGCAGTTAGGGGTGATCAGGCAGGTAGGCAGAAGCAGTTAGGGGTGATCAGGCAGGTTAGGAGGCAGCAGTCCCAGATTGCAAGAGGGATGTCTAACTGCCAGTTTAAGCCGGATCCCACAATTGGACATCTCCCAACAGGTCCCCGATTGAAGAGGGTGCAGGCTAGGCTGAGGGACCCCCTCCAATGCACAAATTTTATGCACCAGGCACTAGTCTATGTATATAAAAGCCAAGCATCCAGAATGATGAAACAACCAGTCACTATGATGCACACTGCGGTGGCCAACGTGCCCAGTCAGGGCCCCAGTTATCCCCCCAACCTCCTGTAGCCCCTTCCTCCCCACCAACCCAATTCCTGATTGGCCCCCATCACCCTGATTGGGGGCAGGGCTGGCTGGCCAACCTCCTGCTTCCCCTTCCCCCTGCCAGGCTGGCCCTGATCGACCCCCATGGGGCAGGCCGACAGGACCCCACCTTGCACGAATTCATGCACCGGGCCTGTAGCCTAATATAATAACCACTGGCTACATGTTTTTTGGAGTACTTAAAATCTGGCTAGGCTGTCTAAGGAACCATATATTTTTTAAATTAATTTTGATTTAAACAGACACAGATGCCTAATGTCTATTGTGTGGATTGCACAGTTCTACATCCTAGATTAACAGAGGCATCTAAATTAGACAATATCTATAATAATAAAAGTGTAATATGCTAATTAGACTGGACGACCTTCTACAAGAAGCCGGGCCTGCAAGGGAAGCCTGGGTCCCGGGTGCCAGAGGGAAGCTGGTGCTGCAGCCAGAGGAAGAAAGGCCTGTTCTTGCACAAATTTCTCGTATCGGGCCGCTAGCTTAGCTATATAGGAAGTTTTTTCTAGAGTATCAGGCGTAGGTAGCTTTAAGGAAATCTGTAGATTCTTAACTTCCTAAACTAATTTGCCTAAGAAAGTGAGTCTGTTAGTGCTTCTTTTTAACAATTGTTTTTTTTCTGCCATACAAAAAAATGGTTATCTCACCCAGCCACCCATCATCTAGGGTTGAAGATCTTTTCCCAAGGGCTAAAGAGACAATACAACCTCCTGAGAGGGAGAGCAAAGCAAGAGCTTCTGTAAGAAATACTGTTGGGGATCTTGCTTATCTTATCAAGCTAACAAACTCTGCTGAGGCCGGCTCGCCTATTTACTTACCTTAGAATTAAAAATCATACCGTGTTTCCCAGAAAATAAGACATCCTCCAAAAATAAGACCTAGCGCATGGAAAGATAAGACATCCCCTGAAAATAAGACCTAGCACAACTTTGGGAGAAAAAATTAATATGAGACACTGTCTTATTTTCGGGGAAACAGGGTAGGTGAGAAGGTTAGCACAGGCACAACTTAATGAATTTATTTGAATTAAATTAAGCTTAACCTTTTCTGACAAAGTCTGAAAGACTGACTTTGACAAATAGGTTACATAATACATTTTCATATATACCGTATTTTTCGGACCATAAGACGCTCCGGACCATAAGACGCACCAGTTTTTAGAGAAGGGAAATGAAGAAAAAAAGATTCTGAAACAAATAGTGTCCTAAAATATTTTATGTGCATTAAAACCCAACATCACAGTCATAAACACATGTAATCAACCCTGTAAAGTAAACAGCAGCATTTAGAACCATTTTAGAGCCGGGCAAGCACACAGAGACCACACAGAGCCGGGCAAGTAAAAAAACTTTTTTTTTAAAGTACAATATATGTGTAGGCTATATTTGGACCATAAGACGCAGGGACTTTTTCCTCCCACTTCTGGGGGGAAAAAGTGCGTCTTATGGTCCGAAAAATACGGTAAGTTCCAAGGTTTTTTTTACAAATATATAATCTATGTAACAAAAGCCTAATATGCTAAGTGTCCAGGCTTCCAGTTGGCCATTCAACTAATCAAACCATAATATGGTAATCATATGCTAAGGTCACTCAACTGCTCACTATGACATGCACTGACCACCAGGGGGCAGATGTTCCAACCGGTCGGTTAGCTTGCTGTTGGTGTCTGGCCAGTGGGGACTGAGTGAGACAGGCTGGACACATTCTGGAGCCCTCCCGCAGTGCCTTCCTGGCTGGCTAACCTTCCATGTCCCTTCCTGGCCCTGATTGTGCACTGGTGGGGTCCCTCAGCCTGGCCTGTGCCCACTCACAATCCGTGCTGAAGAAACTCCCCCCCCTCACCCCGAGTGCACGAATTTCGTGCACCGGGTCTCTAATACATATAAAAACCTAAGCAACCATTATAACTGAATGACTGGAATGACCAGAACAACTGCTTGACCAGTTGCCATGACATGCACTGACCACTAGGGGGCAGGTACTCAATGCAGGAGCTGCCCTCTGGTGGTCATTGCGCTCCCACAGACAACCTCCCATGGTCCCCCTCCAGCCGGCTGGCCCCCCCATAGGCCTGATCTTTATTTGTGCAATGGGCCTCTAGTAAACTTATAAATAAGGAAATCCATCTTTTACAAATATTTACACCTCTGGTAATTTTTTAGATGTCAATTAAAAACATGCAAATTCTTTTGATGGTACATGAATAAAAATATTTTAAAATCCCAATTCAAATTTAGGAATCTGTTAGGTGTTGATTTTAAGTGATATTACATTGGCTTTGTTTTGGATTTCCTCCACTGTTAACATAAATCTTTAAATTGGCCAAATCTTCTACCTGCTCTTCAAAAATAAAGAACCTTGTTCAAATAAGTTATGTAATATATCATATATATTTGGGGTGCCACAATGCACATTAACATAAGACTTAAGAGCAGTGGTTCTCAGTCTTCCTAGTGCTGTGACCCTTTAATACAGTTCCTCATGTGGTGATCCCCAACCATAAAATTATTTTCGTTGCTACTTCATAACTAGTTTTGCTACTGTTATGAATCGTAATGTAAATATCTGTGTTTTCTGATGGTCTTAGGCTCTACAGCAGCTGCTCTCAAAAACTGCTAGCCGGTTCGCCTAAGACCATCAGAAAACAGATATTTACATTACGATTCATAACAGTAGCAAAACTACAGTTATGAAGTAGCAACGAAAATAATTTTATGGTTGGGGGTCACCACAACATGAGGAACTGTATTAAAGGGTTGAGGCATTAGGAAGACTAAGAACCACTGCCTTAGAGAGTTCTGCAGTAAAGAAACCTGTATTGTCCCTCTTTTCCTAACTGGTCTGACTGTAGCACTCATTTTTATTAACACTACATAGCACCATGGACCTCATTTTAGGAAGTTCTGATTATGGCGTACCTTGTATATTAAGAAATGTATGGTGTTGTTTTTTTTTACCTTTTTGAGCAATATATCTCCCATATGGAAAGTAGTACATGTAAATTATTTTTTCCATAGAAGTACACATTGAGAAATAGGGATTAAAAAAGAGCAGATAGGAGAATTTAGATTTTTATTTGAAATAATTACATTGAAAGGTGAAGTTTAATTCTGATATTAGTTAGAGCTTACTTTTGAGTAAGCAGTTTTCACCTCAAATTTTTAAATTACAAACATTAACTAGTTATTCATTCCCCCAAATTTTCTGGCTTGTTCAAATTAAAATTATTTTTATATTAATAGAAAATGGTGGCTGTTCATCCAGCAGAAGTGGTCAAAATACTCAACTGTTTCACCTTCAGTAAAGACAAACTAGTTGCTCTTGAACTATTAGCTTCGTAAGTATTCTTTATTTTTTTACTTCATTGGAGGAAAGTTGGAGGATTTTTTAAGTGTCTTTTAACTCAGTGTTTGTCAATCTCTCAGAATTATATTAGTAAATGGAACTCTATTAAAATTGATTAAAGCTTAATGCTGAATTCTTACATCAAAATATCTAGTGTGCTTATTACACAGGATTATAATTTACAGAATAATGGGGCTTATGAAGTTTATTAATTTGATTTAATCTGTATATTAATGACTTGCTTTACCTCCCTACTGTGAATAACTTGACTCTGATAAAGTCATAGGATTTATAGTTAGATTCTACCACATTCTGATAAGTTTTTTTTGGCTTTATATGTGCTTATTCTTTCTGGATCTTATTTTCCTCAGTTGTGAAAATAAGATCCTCACCTGCTTAATAGGATGTGTGAACTTTAAATACTATAAGATATGCAAAAGCACCTAGCACAGCATTTAATACATGATTATAATGAATGTAAGCACAAAGAGAAAAGGACTCTCCCTTTCTACATAAACGAAAAAGTCTCTAAGTTGTTTGTTTATAGCACTTGCATTTTTAAATTCCTTATATACAGTATTTATAAAACACAAAATTTATCATAAGGTAAAACTTCATCTTTAGATCAACCATAATTTTTATGCATTTAACACAGGGGTTTGTATTATTTTAATAGCTCTCCTAGCACTCACTGAGAGGGTGTATTTTCAAGAATCTCAAAATAGTGAATTTTATGTATAGCATTACTTTGTTACTTGAGGTAGCCAGATAAACCTCAATTATTATATTTACCACCTTTATATAACATTTTATTTATAGTCACCAGTTAATTAATCTCACTTTTCTCTCTCTGTCATGGACAGAAGCTTACTCAGATATATTTGTGTGGTAAACAGGAGGTCAGCAGGCCTCTGTATGCTGTCCAGGTTCTTAAATGAAAAGCTATATTATATTTTTTTTGTAGAAACATTGTTGATGCACAAAATTCTCGTCCCATTGAAGATTTATTCAGGATAAATATGTCTGAGAAGAAACGATGTAAGAGAGTACTTGAACAGGTAATTATCTCAAGATTGCTATATAAATGGTACCGTGGTACTTTTGAATGTTGATTAAGAAAAGAGTTCTAATCTTTTTCCTATATTAACTTTGATGAATAACCTGACTGATGCCATGTAATGGGTTACTGATGACATTCCTACAGAATAAGCAGAAGAAACAGAGCTGAGTGAAAAGGACACTGGAAGATGAAGAGATAGCTTGAAAATGAGAAGCCAGTTGGCCGCTCAGGTTGAGCCTCCTGGGGCATTTATTCTTAGTTCCTTGATAGCTTTACCATGGCTCCAAGCTTTTGTCTTTATTTTTTTCTGTTTAGGAACTTGGTTGTTTGAATTTGCTTTGTCATTAAACTTATATCAATAAAATTCATAAGAGATGAGCAATAAAGCAAAATCCCAGTTTATTAATTTAAAACCTCTTGGAGGGTGCAAAGTGGTACTTGTCCAAGCCTAGAAAACTTGATTTGTCATATAAGGTAGTGACTTCTTAGAATTTTGATGGCTGGAAACTGAATTAGTAATTAGAAGGCTAGGCCTGGCAGCCTAATCATTAATCCTGACACCCTTTACTAAGCTTAGGGAGAGTAGAGAACTTTGCCTTAGTCATAAATACTGTAGCAGAAGCAATACTTAAGCCCACATTTTTTATTGTTATTACTCACCTGAGGGTATTTTTTCCCATTGATTTTTGGAGAGTAGAAGGGAGGGGAGAGACAGAGAGAAACATCTATGCAAGAGAGACACAATGTTGCCTCCTTGCACATACCTGAATGGGGCTGGGATCAAGCCTAAAACTGAGGTATGTGCCCTTGACCAGAATTGAACCTGGGAGCCCTCAGTCTGCAGTCCAGTACTTGAACTGATGAGCCAAACTGGCTAGGGCCTATGACCACATTTTAGTACCTTTTTTTTTCAATTACAGTTGACATTCTATATAGTAAAGAAGTAATATGCAAATTTATCCTCACACCATTGTACAATGGTCAAAGATGGCCACCACAAGGTGGCTGGCAGGGGAGGGTAGTTGTGGGCAATCAGGCCAGCAGGGAAGGGCAGTTTGGTATGACTGGGCCTGCAGGGAAGGCCAGTTAGGCGCGACCAGGTCGGCAGAGGAGGGCAGTTGGGGGCAACTGGGCCAGCAGAGGAGGTCAATTGGGGGTTACTGGACCAGCAGGGGAGCAGTTAGGCGTCAATCAGGATGGCAGGGGAGTTGTTAGGGGGTGATCAGGTTGACAGGCAGGCTAGTGGTTAGGAGTTAGCAGTCCCAGATTGTGAGAGGGATGTCTGACTGCTGTTTTAGGCTTGATCCCATAGGCCAAAATCTAAAATCCAGCCTAAATCACGGGCCAAATGGTTTACTGAACAGTCATAAACTGTCATTGTGATGGAAACGCAGCGGAGTGCAGTGATGACAGCGCGGTGCGGGCCACATTGCAAGGCCTGGCGGGATGGATTTGGCCCGCGGGCCTTGTGTTTGACACATGTGCCATAGGCAGTCGGACATCTCCCAAGAGGTCCCAGATTAGAGAGGGTGTAGGCTGGGCTGAGGTATCCCCCGTCTCCCACAGTGCACAAATTTCATGTGCCGGGCCTCTAGTGTAATATATTAGTTTGAGGCATACACCCCAGTGATTAAACATTATATAATTTACTAAATGATGATCCTGTTAGAACTCATACCCATCTGACAATAAATGTAGTTATTCAAATATTATTGACTATACTCTTTATCCTGAATTTATGACTATTTTGTAACATCCAATCTGAACTTCTAAATCCCTTCACCTTTTTTACTAATCTTCCTAATCTCCCTTCTAACTGGCAACTGTAAAAAATGATTTTATATCTAAGAATCTGTTTTTGCTCTGCTTGTTCATTTATTTTGTTTTTATATCCACTTGTTGATAAATATATACTTACTAGAGGCCCAGTTCACAAAATTTGTGTATGGGTGGGAAGGGGAGAAGAGGGGTCCCTCAGTCCAGCCTGCACCCTCTCCAATCTGGGACTTCCCTCTCACAATCCAGGACTGCTAGCTCCCAACTGCTCACCTGCCTGCCTTCCTGATTGCCACTAACAGTTTCTGCCTGCCAGCCTGATTGCCCCTAACTGCCCTCCCCTGCACGCTTGGTAACCCCTAACTTCCCTTCCCTACAGGGTCCCCCTCAACTGTCCTTCCCTGCAGGCCCAGTTGCCCCTAAATTCTCTCCTTTGCCAGCCTGGTTATCCCTAACTGCCCTCCCTACAGGCTTGATTGCTCCCAACTGCCCTCCCTTACATGCCTGGATTCTCCCAAATGCCCTCCCTTGTGGGCCTGATCACCCTCAATTGCCCTCCTTGCAGGCCTGATCCCTCCCAGCTGCCCTCCCCTGCTGGTCATTTTGTGGCGACCATGTAGTGTCCACATGGGGGCAGCCATCTTGTGTGTTGGAGTGACAGTCAATTTGCATTTTTCTCTTTTATTAGGTAAGATAGAGGCCTGGTACATGGGTGGGGGGTGGCTGGTTTGCCCTGAATGGTGTCCCAGATCAGGGTGGGGGATTTCCCTTGGAGCATGGGGCAGCCTGGGTGAGGGGCCTGTGGTGGTTTGCAGGCCAGCCATGCCCCCTGGCAACCCAAGTGGAGGCCATGGTATCTGGGATTTATTTATCTTCTATAATTGAAATTTTGTAGCCTTGAGCGGAGGCCAAGACAGGCCAGGCCCGTGAGAAGCTTGGCTTCTTCCATCGCCAGGGGCAACTCAAGCCTCCTGCTCTCTCCAGCTCTGTGGTTGCTGCCATTTTTGTTGGGATTTATTTTATCTAATAAAAGAGTAATATGCAAATTAACCATGCCTCCACTACACTCACAAGCCACGTGTACAAGCCAATCAGAGCAAGTATGTAAATTAAGCCCAACCAAGATGTCTACAGCCACAGAGAGCAGGAGGGAGGCTTGGGTTTCCCAAGCAATGGAAGAAGCCAGGCTTTCTGCCTGCCCTAGCTTGCCTAGGCTTCCACTCAAGGCTACAAAGGTGCAATTATGGAAGGTAAAATCCAAACAGAAGTGGCAGCAGCCACAGAGCAAGCAGAAGGCTTGGCTCCACTCCAAAAGAGTAATATGCAGATTAACCGTCACTCCAACACACAAGATTAAGATAGCTTCTCCCACATGGTCAAAGATCCTGCTCCCATGTGGACACAAGATGGTAACCACAAGATGGCCAGCAGGGGAGGGCAATTGGAAGGGACAATGCATGCAAGGGAGGGCAGTTTTGGGTGGTCAGTAAAGCAGGGAGGGCAGTTGGGAGGCAACAGGTCTGCAAGGGAGGGCAGTTGGGGGTGATCAACCCTGCAGGGATGGGCAGTTAGGGCTGGCCAGGATGGCAGAAGAGGAAGTTGCAGGCAAACAGGCTGGCAGAGGATCAGGTAGACATTAATCAGGCTGGCATGGGAGTGTTTGGGGGGTAATCAGGCTGGCAGGCAGAAGTGGTTAGGGGCAATCAGGAAGGCAGGCAAGCGAGTAATTGGGAGCCAGAGTCCTGGATTGTGAGAGGGATGTCCGACTGCCCGTTTGAACAGGCAGTTGGACATCCCTCCAGGAGTTCCTGATTGGAGAGGGTACAGGCTGGGCTGAGGAATGCCACCACCACCCTCCTCCCCCTGCATACAGACTTCATGCACTGGGCCTCTAATCTTCTATAATTGAAACTTTGTAGCCTTGAGCTACCCCAGGGCTGTGGGAAGCTTGGCTTCCTCCATTGCTGGGGAAACACAAGGCTCCTGCTTGCTCCATGGCCACAGCCATCTTGGTTGGGTTAATTTGCATAATCACTCCTGATTAGCTGGTGGGCATAGCAGAGGTATGGTCACTTTGCATGTTATTAGTGTAGATTGTCTATTCATCTGTGTTATCTTTTTTTTCCTTTTTCTTAAAGAAGATACTTTAACATTCTATGTAATACTGGTTTGGTTATGATTAACCCCTTTCTTTTTTGTCTGGGAAGCTCTTTATATGTTTTTGTATTCTAAATTGATAACTTTGCCAAATAGAGTGTACTTGGTTTACATATAGTAAACCCTCCATTTTGTGGACCTTAATTTAACACATTTTGGATTTAACAGACAAAAATTCCAGTCTGTATGTCATATGTGAAAATTAACACCCTGTTAATTTTTAAGTGCTTTTAAACAAGATTTGCTTATAATTAAATTAACTGGTGGTTTTTTTTGTTATTAATTCACAACTTTTATAAATCTTAGTGAATAGGTTATATGTTGGAAATAAACACTACTAATTTCTGTGACATATATATTACATATCCAGAGCTATAATCTACATATGTAAATCCAAGGGTAACTGCTTATAAACAAAGTTTGGCAAATGATGAGAACATGATCACATCACATCATATGCAATAATTGGTTGTCCCATGGCATGACTCTCAGCAGTTAATACTCCTGGCTGATGTACCTCTTTTTACTAAGCCATGTCCCAGCCATGTGCATTTGTTTACTAATAGTGACTAGTGAATGCACACTTTTACTAGACCTATTCAGTATAAATTTTAAATTATTGTAATACATACAGAAAACTTCTCTGTGAAATTAAACTTTCCATAAATAATTTTAATTATGCAAATGTTTCTACATAAGTAAAAATAGGTCAACTAATTTGTCAATTTTAGGTAACTAATCTTTTTCTCCTGATGGTTTCAAGGTTCTTTCTTTGTCTTTAATCTTTTGTATTGAAATTATGATGTGTCTTGGTGTGGGTGTCTTTAAGTTCATCTTGTTTGGGACTCTACTTTCTGGTCTTTTACATTTCTTTCCTTCACCAGGTTAGGGAAGTTTTCTGTCATTTTTTTTTTTTTTTCTTCAAATAGGTTTTCAATTTCTTCCTCACTCTCTTCTCCTTCCGATACCCCTATGGTGTAATGTTGGCACACTTGAAGTTGTTCCAGAGGCTCTCTACACTGTTCCTGAAAAGGAGTCCAGCCTGCAAGCAGTTATTCTTAGGGC